GGGATGGGTCAAATGAGGAGTTAAACGTGCGGGTAGGGTAGGGGGGTTAGGGTTATAATTAAGATTATAAATAATGATATAAATATATAAAAATATTTAATATTTCAAAAATAAAATTTGATTTATGCATTTTCATTTGTGCGTCAGATTGTAGAAAATTGAATGACCTTTTTACGTAATTTTGACGTTTCGGACGCGCTGGCGCGGTCCGTTTCACAGTCGGAGGTCGTTTTAAGGAATTCATTAATTGCGTGCAATTTGTTGGTGTGTGAAATTATGACAATATGAGTGTCTTTTTCTTGTTAAAATTGGTGTCCCGGACGCGTTGACCAAGTCTATTTTTTCGTTGGAGGTCGTCCGGAGAAGTTCGCATTTTCACCCATTTTTTTTAAGCTCAATTTAAGTCCGATCTTGTGCAACTTAGTGAATTTTGTGCATTTTGTGTGTGTGTGTGATGATAAAGTCCTGAAGAGGTTTTCTTAGGGCTTGAGATCCTATTGGGAACTTCTTTCTGAGTCTCTACATGACAGTCCTTTACCACTCGATCATAGAACGATGGTTTTGAGATCATTAATGCGAGACATCACAAGAGAAATATTGGAATTTCTAAAAAAAGAGTGGGTCCCAGTTCTAGTTTTCTAAGATAGTCAATAGGAACCCCTAGAGCTAGATCCTAGGATCCTAAGGAAAAGGGTAGTGACCTTAAAATGAGGTCAACTGTATACTCTGTCTTATTATCAGAGTTCAATACATTCACTACTGCACTCTATTGAGTCTGGATTGTCTTGTGGAAATATTTAAAATAAACAAACATATCACCCAATTTTTCATCAGGTACAATCAAGTAACGAGAAAAATAATTATTAAGTCACCAAATGTTGACTGCTATTCATCAAACTTGTACAACAATATCCCCAAACATTAGAACGTATCATATCAAAAATACAAGAACTCTTATTCCTAGAATTGATATAAGAGCTCCTAGTTAGCTTATCAAACTCGCAAGCATCACATATAAGTTTTTTTTTTATTTGTCTTTCATACAAAGACTGATACAATCGACTCAATAAACTAAAACAAGAGTATCTCAAGTGTCTGTGATGTAACAATAATACATCTTCTACACTCCTCTCAGAGCTTCCTGCTCCAGCACTCTCTACCATGGATATCAAGGCTTAGTCCCAAGTGTTCGGGCCATCTCTTTCTCTTGGAAGATCCTTTTTGGAAGATCAAATGAAATAATACATTTTTTATGGAGATTAATGACACTAATAGATAAAATGTTCTCCGGAAAGGATGTACCATGCAAAAGATTGGACAAAGTCATATAATTGGTACACAATACCGTACCCTTACCAACTATAAGCTATGTTGTGCCATGAACAGTCTGGACGCTTTTTGAAATTGCTAGGTGAGTATATGAAGAGAATTTTTTAGCAGCACATGTCACGTAATGAGATGCACCAGAATCTACTATCAATTTTGATGATCTTTTGATGGAAATAATGACAAGAGCGTGTGTATCATGAGCGCCTTTGTTAGAGTAAGCATAAGTAGCAATGTTACCCCTTTCTGACAACGAGATGGATGCATCCTTAGCCCCATCACATGGTAATTTTTGCTACATTTTTAATATCTTCAGAAACTCACGATCCTCATCAGTAAAGACCACAAATGTCTCTTCCTCATCCCCTGCTACCATCATAATATTTTGGCAGTCTTATCTTCCACCTCTTTGACCACCATGACAATGACCTCTAAACTAACCTCCTTCACCCATCTCTCTCCTTCGGTGGCCTAGGACAAACCTTGCTCAGATGGCCTACTTCACCGTAGTTGTAGCACTTACGAGTCTCCCCGTGGGCACCTGTCATACTTTAGTTCAAGTTAGCCAAAGTTGATCGCACGTGGGCACCTGTCATACTTTAGTTCAAGTTAGCCATTGATCGCGTACTTGGAAGTCTACTCAGCTCAAAGTGTTCCCTCATACGACTGTCCTCCTATATCATCGCAACAATGACCTCATCTAGTGACCGGATATTCGCCAGGGCTAGGAGGACTGTTCTCATTTGATCAAAGGCCAGATTTAGATGAGTTAGAGAGTGCATGGTCCTCAATTGTGCAAAGATTTTCTCCCTATTACAACCCATATCATCGTAGCTCGACATCGGTGAGCAGTGATCAAAATCTCCCCACAACCGCTTTAGATCTATGGAGTACTGAATCGATTTTTTACCTTACACCATAACCTTTATCTCGTGTTTAATCTGGAACACCCTCATGTTGTTCTCAGCCCCAACATAGATCTTCTTCAGCTTCACATAGCGTCCCTCTCCTTTCGAATGCGATGATGAGACAATCGATGTAGCCAGGTGTAAAGCAAGGTGGGTGTGGTCCTCTCCTCATCCCCCTCATTATTGTCACTTTTTTGGCTCGACTCCTGTCAAATATCCCTCTAGTTTCTTCTCTACTGGAGCAGCTTCTATTTGATGCGACGAACTCAAATACGTGACAAGTCCATCAAGATGAGTAAGATCTCACTTTACTTTCATCGGGGTACGTGTTGAGGTAGTGGCTCTCGTCGTGACACTAAATCTCTGTATGAGCCTGATAAAGTCCTTCCTCTTCTTGAACTGTTCTTGATCTATCTCATCATCAAGGTCGATATCCTTCTAATATCAACACTTTCCTCGGGATTCGTGGGGTATTGCTTTTCCATAAGGGCTCCTTCAACTGGCGGACAAGTTCTTCATGATGTGGCGGCCAACTGGAAGAGGGAGAGGCACGACTGAGAGAGACAGAGAGAGCGGTGGTTGGGTGAGAGAGCGGTGGTTGGGTGAGAGGAGTGACGATCGGGAAGAGAAGAGCAACGGTATTGTAACGATGGCTAGGGTTAGGGTTTAGCTCTGATACCAACAAGAAATAGTTTCTCTTAAAAGTTGTTTTATTCATTAATGACTTGGGCATATATATAGCCTTACATCTTTCTTATAAATAAATCTCTGGATTTCTTCAATATTTTCTATTGAGCAATTTCGTTACCTAATTATAAATGTACAGCTGTGAACAAATGATTAAGTGCGGGTCAAATTGTCTAAGGAAGGTCAAAAGTGGTAAATTGTTGCTAGGGCTATTTTAGATTTGGATAGAGGAAATTGTTGAATGCTGAAAAATTGCATGAGATGTTTAAAGTGAGTTGCAACAGGGATTGGTGGGTGGTTACCAATGTCTACGATTAAAATTTCATTGTAGTTGTTACACATTAAGGATGAATGCAATATATGAGTGTACATGAGTGAGTTGGTGAGCATGATTGGTATCATTCATATATTTTCTATGTCATTGTCAATTCATGAAAGAAATTGTTACTGTTAAAAAAAGTGGTCATGGCAGAAATTTTTGCAATTAGTGCCAAGTTAATGCATTAGCACATAATTATTTGAAGAATTTACATGCATACCACACAATTATTATGTATTTACATATCTAACACCCAAAGTTAGATATTTATTCTTATTATTACTTTGATGTCGTAAATATATGTATGAAAGTTGCACTTTAGATAATGATTTTTTCTTATTAATACTTTGTTTCGCCTGCTGTCAATTCCAAACTTCTATATGTGACACAATTCTCTCCAGATGTTCCCGCTCGAATCTGCTTTAGACTCTTTCGCTCTATCTGTTCTGCTTCCGTTTGTTCGATTTTTATGGATGTAGGACTTTTCCTTCCTAGTGCTGCAACTCGAGTCCGCTCCCGATTCACTAGCTCTAATTCATGGTTATAGATCCACCTAAGGCCACAATGCTACTCTGATGTCGTGTGAATCCCTCTTATTGTTGTCGCTTGCGCCTACTCCATATATCATCTCTCGGGCCAAAATTTTTTTACTTTAAGGGCCATGAATCTCCCCTCCATGGACAAGAAACGCTCTCCCTCTAATTTCTCGTCCAAGGCATTATTTTCTTGACTGTATTACTCTTCACGAAAGTGAAACTCTTGTATGCCATGATCTCGTTGTTGTGTTCCCAGGTAGCTTGAATCGCGATTATATTTATTTGGTCACAAGGGCGTACGATCTCGCCGATTTGAAGTGTATCGTGATCCCATCATTGGCTAGACTCGCGACTGTATTGTGATGTTAGATCACAGAGCGACATGAAGTTATGTTGTGATCCATCGTTGGCTTCTAGCTAACTCAAAGCGCGATTGTTTTGTGTGGTCCATTCACGAATGCGGCATTCTGTATGTGGTGATTCCTTTATTGCTTACCAACTAGCTTGAATAGCAATTGTTTCTAGTTTCGTTGACACCTGTATGCACGGCGATCTCGTCGGTTTCCTAGAATGATTCCCATAATTGAATGCTCAGATACCAATTTGATAGGAAATAGATGAACTTCCAGAGAGATCAAGACAAACAAAATATTTTTATATCTCCAACACTGAACAACACAACACAAATATATAAAACATAAACACCTGCAATTTGAGAAGTAGATTTCTCTCAAATCCAAACCCTAAGATCCACTGTTTGAGAGATAGACGTCTCTGCCAAACTCTAAGCTTAAGATTTAAGACAATAATCACACATATCACATAGCCTAACCCTAAACATATTAAGCCTAATTTATACCTCACAATAATAAATAGCAATTGACTAAATTATCCTTTATACTTGCACTTAACATAAGTGCTTAAATTCTTCGCCGGGCTTAGCGTCGGTCTAATAGTTGCTTTATATTTCAATTTTTTTAAGATTTCGCCGTGTTAGGTTGTTTTATTCCAATTATGGAAGGCCTAGTAATTGCTTCTCCATTTTTGGTCAAATCTGTTGTAACAATGGTGCCACTTAGATCTCTCTACTTCGTCTTTTCTTCCTTTTCTTCCTCTGCTAATTCTTTTTTACAACTACGCTTGAAGTTCTCACATTTGACATACTGTTTTTATGATTAATGCTGAGAATGTTAGTATCTTACATGGTGGATATTTTTGTCTCAGGTTTGGTGCGGTAATTTGTCACTTAGAGATTGGTTGAAGGAGCAATCCAGTACTTCAGACTTCAGCAGGTTAAAATGGATGTATTATTCTATCAATAAAAGCCCATGGTAAATTCCTATTGCGAACTTGTCTTTCTTCGTAACGATACATAAAATGCATTGTACTTGATTTCCTGACTAATTGTAGGTGGAGAGCTTGGGTGTATTTCATAGAACTCATCTTTTATTTGCATGCCATAATTTACAAACATGTAATCACTGTGCTTAATAATTTGTCTGTTAAACAATGAATATACAACGCAATTATCATCAGTTGAATAGGTATGTATGTGCGCCACAACTGCTAAGCCTGCAATTTTTTTTTTAATAGAAAGTCTGGGCAACGGTGTATTTATGATCACTACCAATTTGAACTTGCTTTTCTGCTATGAAGCAAATTTTAGCGATGACCTTGTTATGTTCTTTTTAACTTTATGGTCTTCACTAGTATTGATGCAGTATGGGGCAGGAATTCGAGAACACGGGAAGCGGATGTGAGTTCTAGCCGATTCTTTCCAAAGGGAATACCGCCTCCTTCAAAAAAAGGGGCCAACGTATAGTTTTCCTAGTGTTATATATTTGTTTTTGTGATGTCTTGGAGGCAATTTTTGTTGTGTTTCTATTTGGGACAGCCATCGGTATCTCTTTTTTTTCCTTCTATGGTTGTATTCAAGGTACAAGTGGTGCTCGTTCCTGAGGTGTTTTCCCTAAAACCCGCCCCCCATCCCCCCTTCCCCCTCCCCTCCCCTCTCGCATCTTTTCCACATCACTTTTCGTCGCTCTCTGTAACCCCTTCCCTGTTCAACCGCCCGTTACTATTTTCCTGCATTTTTCTCACTTTCCAGCCTTCATCTTCATTGTTGTTGATGCCTATGATCTCGGAGCTAACTCGACCCACGACGACTGAAACAAATATTATTAAGCAAAACCAGTAGAGGTACAATTAAGACTAACAATAATGAAAATAAAACAATGAAGACAAAACTAGCAAGATCCGGGCGTGGATTAAGGAGAATATCTGTGGATGTCGGTGGCAAGGTGGGTGTTGGTCGGTGGCTGGAAGTGGTGACAACAGGTGAACGGCCCAATGAGCGGTGGCTGACAGGTGGAAGGAGGGTTTGGGGGCTGCTGAAGCAAGGATGGAAGCAGGTGGCGGTGACATTGGAGCGAACAACAGGTGTCGGCGGCTGTTGGAAGGGAAGGCCAACTGGTGTCTGTAGGACTAGAGGGGAGCAACAGATGCGGTTGGTGGATGGAAGATGAAGGGCAATCAACAGCAGCTTTCACCCCATGACTGCTGGGTAGATGTTGGAATCATCAAACAAAAAGAAGGGTGTTGGAAAACATGACAAACGTGGGCAGTGGCTGGAGGGTGAAGGACAGCAGGCTGTTGCAGTGTCAGGAGGGTGTCAGCAACTGGTTGGGAGTTGCTGGAGGAGCCGACGACCTGCTAAGGTTTTGACTAGTGGTAGCGGGAATGCGATAGAACAACAAAGATAATCACCACATCGGACCAGTTACAGAGAGCACGTTCTCGTCGTCAGATACAACCCTCAGAAGGGAAAAATGCTTGAAGCAGCATTCTGAACTCAGAAAATAATAAAAGACTGTCTTAACCTAATCAAACAATACATATATATAATGGAGATTAGTAAATAAAGTAAGCAATGCGTAGAATAGGAAATAAATAGAAAAAGAAATGGCATAAAATAAGTAAGGAGCAGAATAGGAGAGTCATATAAAAGGAAGGGGACTGGAATAGGCAAGGAAACAAATAACATGAAAAAGATTGTTGGTGGGGGGGGGGGGGGGGGGGGTAATTTCACCACTAATTCGACTCTCTAGATTGCGGTCGAGGGTACTCGCCATAGGGGTCTCATTATCCATCTCTGTTATTCTCTGTTGTAGTAGATGGATTTTCCCTTATATTTCATCTTGGTTGGTGTTCGATGGGTATTTCCTCAGGGGCATGGTTGAAGATTTCGGATCTGCGGAAGAAGAAAAGAAAAAACAAAAAAAAGAAGAAAAAAATGAAGAGAGAACAAAAAAAAATGAAAAAAATGGCGGACTCTAGGGAAAACTAGGATAGGATTAGGGTTAGGCTAGCTCTGATACCAAATGATACTAGAGTTGACTCAGCCCACGATGACAAAAACAGGTATTATTAAGCAAAACCAATAGAGGTACATTCAAGACTCAAACAATAATGAAAACAGACTAGTAAGATCTGGTCATGGACTAAGGAGAATATCTGTGGATGTAGATGTTGATGTGGGTGCTGACTGGTGGTTGGAAGTGGTGACAACAGGCGGACGACATGATGTTCTACGACTGACAGGTGACATGAGACGAGGGTCCGACAACTGCTAAAAAGGGTAGGAAGGCTCAAGCGGCGGCAACGCTAGAGGGAGCAGTAGGTTCGGGCGGCTAGTGGAAGGGAAAGACCAGTAGGTGTTAGTGAGACTGGAGGGGAGTAGCAAGTGTGGGTGACTGCTGGGAAGATGGTTAAGTCGTTGAACAACAAGAACGATGCTAGAGAGCTCGGCAGACGTGGGCAACTGCTAGAGGGTGAAGGGTGACTGGTGGCTGTGGTGCTGAGAGGGTGTTGGCGCTCAACTAGGTGCTGCTCGAGGAGTCGACGGCTTGTTGGGAGCTGTTGGAGTGGTCGGCGGTCTACTAGGAGCTACTGGGGTTGATTGGTGGTAGCGGGAAGGTGGGAGAACAACCGAGATAGTCACCACCTTAGAGGAGTTACAGTCGAAACACATTCTTGTCGTTGGATACAACCCTCAGATAGGGAAAACATCAGAGGTAGAATTCTAAACTCAGACAATAATCAAAATTGTCTTAACCTAAACAAATAACAAATATATATAATGGGGATTAGTAAATATAACAATCAAGGAGTAGAATATGAAATAAATAAAGTAGGAAGGGGTATAGAATAAGCAAGGAACAAAATATGAGAGTCATAGAAAAGGAAGGGGAGTAGAATAGGCGGGGGGCGGGGGTCATTTTCGTCCCATGGCTTGGGCGACTGGTCCAGCCTCCCAGCTCTCTGCCTTCACTATTGCTGCTGTTCTGGCTCTCTACTTTTGTTATTGTTGTTGTTCCAACCCTCATCTTTGCCGCCATCATTGTTCCACCCTTTATACTTGGTTGCCGCAATCCATAAGCCCCTCTAACCATTGATTTCGTGCTGCCAGCCCACTACCTCTATGCTGCCGTCTAGAACAGCAAATATCTTCTGTACACTCTCCTCTACTCCACCTCCTGACCTTACCGCCACCTTTTCAATCCCTTGGGAACCACCACCACCACTCTATATTCACTCTAGTCGCGTGTTGTGTGTCGTGTTTGTTGTTATTTTTTATTTTCGTTTAGTTGGTTGTAATTTTTTATTTGATTTGTGTAATAATATTTGCTTTTCCCATTATTGTTAGTTAAGTCCGTTATCACTTAGTATCAAAGTTAAACTAACCCTTGTCTTACTCTAGGGTTACTGAAATCCACTACTTAACCTAAACATTGCTAAAAAAATCTTTCATTTGCTGATTTTTCAAATCAGCCACCCAATTTTTTTCTTTCCCACCCGAAATGATATCCATGCACCCTCTTCCACCTTTCCGAACCTAAAACTTAACCACACCACCAAGGAGACATTTGCTGGAAACCTGATCAGGAGGAAATGGCATAATGTCACTTATGAAAAGTCCGCAAAGAGATGGCTAGGAACTTTCTATGAAGGTTATGGAAGGGAAAATCCTTCAGCTGCAACAGTGATTCACTTTAGCCACCTGTTGTGTGTCATGTTTGTTTTTATTTCTTTTTTCTGTTTGGTTGGTTGCAATTTCCTATTTGATTTCAGTAATAATATTCGTTTTTCCCATTATTGTTGGTTAACTTTGGTATCATTTGATATCAGAGTTAAACTACTCGGAGTTATCGATACGTAATCCAAACACCACTTAAAGAATCTTCCCCTTGTTGATTTTCAAATTTGCTACCCAAATTTTTCTTTCTCACCGAAATGACCCCCATATACTCTCTTCCACATTTCCAAACCTAAACTCTGGAGACAATTGTCAGAAACCCGATTTGGAGGAAATGACACAATAACATTTATGAGAAATCAGCAAGGAGATGTCTAGGAACTTTCTATGAATGTTATGGAACGTGAAATCCTTCAACTACAGTAGAGGCTCGCCGCCTTCAAGAGGAGACAATTCAGAGTGGTCTCCCAAACAACGTTTGATTCTAGAGATGAACCACAACCGAAAAAATTTGGCATGAAATATCAAAAAAGTCAAGATGTTGAAGTAAAGGTCGATTTACCATATTGTGGCAACCTCATGGATCCGGAGGAGTTCCTTGAGTTGTTATGGATAGTGGAACGTGTCTTTGAGTGTCATGATGTCTCACCGAACATGACGATGAATGTAGTCGCGAGCAAGTTAAAGAAGAGTGCATTTTTGTGGTTGGAGAACTTAAAGATTCTTCAATAGATAGAATGGAAGATGTTGCTTATTAAAAGCTTCTATTTTTTGAGTTGACATGTTCCATTGTAATGAACTAATAGGTTCACAAAATGATTCTCCTTCATGAGTACCCCTCAGTGAGGGAGGTCCAACATGTTAGAGATGAGAATCTTTTGCATAACTTCTGGAAGATTATCTTGAGTTATTTGGGTATTAAAGTCAGTTCGGCTGTGTACCCACCTACAAATGATCAGACAAGATGGATGAATCACTGCGTTGTAAATTATTTTTGGAGCTTTGTGGGAATGAATATCCTATGATGAGATCTAATTGTCACGATTCGACCCTGTTATTGGAATTAATCAAGATTAGAACAGACTATTAGATAGTGAGAACTAAATTTTCTATTTTTGTTTGTAATTTAACAAATATAAGAGCCACAAATCATATTAAATTAAAAAAGTATATTTAAATTTATCTCATTTTTAGTTGTCCGCATATTCTATAAACATTTTTTTTTTATCCTTAATCTTTTAAATTACTTAATTAAATTTGAAATATTAATTTAAAATAATAGTAAGCTAAACAATG